TGTCTCCCAGGCAGCGCTGGGCCCCGGCACTATCGCCTCATGCCAGGCACTGACACCGGTGTGCTGGACACTGTCGCCGGGATCTGGGCAGCCTGGCCTGGCTATTTTGGTCCTGCCCGGGCTCCAGTGCCACCTCCGGCAAGTCCCTACCCAAGAGGTGGAGGACGTGGTGGCAGAGATAAGGGGTCTGCGGGCCCCATGTGTACATGATGAGCACAGCGCCCCGAGTTGGCACCGCCAAGGAGCACAAAAATGTCACGGAGGAGGTCTTTTTTAAATTAAAATAATTTTTTGTTGGCTGGAAGGGAGGGGATCTGGTCCAGCGTCTGTAGCCAGAAGGAGTTTATTTTTATGAGAGCGAGCGAGTGAGCGCTTAGCAACCGGTGCCCGCCTGCCCGCTACCGGGGAGTCATCGCAGGGAGTCATCGCTGTGCGAGGTGGCACGAACTGCGGGGTGGGGCGGGCTGGGGCGTACTGGGGCCACCGCGTGAACCCTCGACCCCAGGGGACTGGCAGAATGGCTGGAAGTTGACTTAGACCTGGCTGCACCCCTGTTGGCTATAGGTAGCCCCTCCTGGGCTCAGTTTCCCCATCTTTAGGATGGGCAGGGCATGCTGTCCGTGGGCTGCAGAGGGCTGTGACCTTGGGTGATTCCCCAAGCAAGGAGGATGTAGACCCCGCCTTCCTGTGTCCTGGAGAGGATTGAGCCAGGCTGCCTAAGCCGCTGTAAGCTGTAAAGCCTGTGGGACTGTGGGCTCCGATTAGAGGGTGTCACGCGGCCTGGGGTCCCTGTGGAATGTGGCAAGGGTCAGGTGCAGTGCCAAGCTTTTGTCCTTCAGGAATGCCCTGCGCCACACACACCCCATGGTGGTGGTCAGCCTCCCTCACACCTTGATTTTAGCTGTTCAGCAGAGCTGCCTTGTGTGAGGTGGTGCTGCCCATTTTACAGATGGGCTGATTGAGGGCTTCCTAGAAGACTTTGAGGGGACAGGAGTAGCCCCCTTGACCAACAGTGACTTTGGACTTGGGAGGTTTGGTCACTGATTTCTGGAGGGATGTGGAATTAGATGACAGCCTGGAGAGGACTGTTCAACCCCCACGTGTCCAGGCCCTGTCTGTTCCAGGAATGTGAGCTTCTCATGGTCTTTCCAGAGGTCCCAATGTCATGGCACCTGTGGCCACCGAGTGCATTCCTATGCAGAAGGGTGGAAGTCACTGTGGGGACTCCAGGAATGTGGCTTGGTGCTTCCCCGGAACCTGGGTAGGAGCTGGGGTGCCCCTCAGAGAAGCCTAGGGTACCCACTCTATCAGAGTGGGCAGATGCTTGAAGCTGGCATGTGTTTGTCTGGTGTTCACGGGGTTGTCTGGGCTGGGGCTCCGATCTGTGGGTTCTGTGGAGGGCTGGGTCTATAAGCACCCAGGGTGGCCGATGGGAAAGGAGGAGGTTCCTTCTGCAGTTCCGCACTTAGCTGGTGATTGAACCTCAGCTGAGGCGGCTCTGAGTGGCATCAGGTTTGGAGCAGAAGGTTGGATTTCCAGGACCTTGTGGCTGGGGTGGGGTTTGTGGGAGAGAAACTGCAGACAGGGAGACTTGGTGACCCGCTGTGTTGCTGATGGAGAGCATGGCTTCTGAGGTCAGGCTGTGTTAGAGCTGCTGTCTTCTGTGGTCGGGACCGGGATGGCCAGTGTTCCCGGCGGGGGCGCAGCAGGTGGCCGAGCGTGTTTGTGGAACGTGTCCCCTGGGTCCGAGCTGGAGAGAGGAACAGGAGCTGGGCAGGATTTGGCAGGAGTCATATGATGGGGCTGTGGGTGCTGGGTAAGTGTCTTGGGCTTTATCCGGAGGGCGGCAGAGATAGAAATAGGATCCCATAGGGTTTGGGTACAGCAGGACAGAAGCTGTAGAAGCCTGGAGCCTGGGACAGCCCCGTGCTGAGCGAAGAACTGGGCTGGGCTCCAGGAGACCCAGGGTCGCTGGTGGGCAGTGCACGGAGCTCGTTCTGTGCCAGTGAGTCCTGCCCTGAGCACTTTCTGTAAACATGGGGCGCGGCCTGGACATGCTGTTTAGCAGGTACACAGGCCATTAAGCCTCGCTGGGCCTCTGGGAACGCGACCTGGGCCTTCAGGACAAGTTACCGACTGGTCCGTGGGATCCCCTCCCACCCCACCTGGTCTGAGTCTGCATCTGGATGCCAGACCCGGGGAGACAAAGATCAAGGAATGGCTTTTCTGTTCCCAAAACAAGCCCCGAGTAGAGGTGTTGGGATGGGGAGCATTGTGGCCAGGCCTTAGACTCGCCTAAGTCTGGGACGGGCTACAGTGCCCACCTGGCCCTGGCTTCTGTGTTCCCAGAACTAGGGTGAGGTGGGAGGATCACTGGTGCCAAAGTTGGGGGGCCATTCTGGGAACCATAGCCAGCCACACCGGGTCTCAAAGGAAGAGAATTATCTGGAAGACTTTTTAAATTAACAGATGTGGGACCAGAGCTTGGGAATCTGTATCTTAAAAGGTTTTGTGTTTTGAGGGTTTTTTTTTTTTTTCCCCACTTTGAGTTGAGGTTGCTGTGCCTCCCAGACTGACCCTAAGCTCTTGGGCTTCAGCAGCTATCCTGCCCCCAGAGCTCTAGGGCTGCCCAGTGTGTCCCCCTGTACCTCCCCTAACTTTGAAAAAGTCCTGGAGGTGCTTGAGAGTGTGATACAGTGGTCAGGCAGCCCAGCCCCAGGCGCACACGGGTGAATAAGTAAAATAAAATCATCAGGGGCATGGGGCTCCACCGTGTGCCAGGATCAGGACTCAGCCTCTCCTCACCCCGCAGCCGGGTCCCCGCTGTGTCCTCCTGTGTCCCCACCTCCATAGGGCTGGGAATGGGACCCTGGTCTTTGCTGCACCCTAGCCTGCCCACCTCCAGATCACCACTTTCTGATTTGTCACTGGAAATCAGTCTAGAACCTCCTGAGAGGGACTCATGTAAAGCACGTCCCTGTCCCTGGGGTCCAGCCCTGTCCACTCCCCAGGGTCTGGCAACTCCCCCACACCCCCAGGAACCATAGCCTGGAGCATTAAGAGGAAAATGCCGGAAAGGAGGACTGCTAGGCGTGACTTTATTACCGCATTGTTGTAACTTTTATTACTAGCTATCTCGTTAACCTCGCAGCGGCCTGACCTGCCGAAATGCCCTTCTGCGGCATCACATCCCAGGCGTGTGTGACTCTGTCCTTGCTGTTCCAGCCCCAGGGTCTCAGGATCGCCCTGTCCGTGAGGGGCTGTACCGTTGCTGCAGGGCAGGTCAAGCTGCTGCCTGCATCCATGAAGGAGTCTGTTTTTGGACACGTTTTCATCTACCCAGGAGTGGCACTACATGCATATTGACTCAAGAGAGACTGCCAAAAGACTCACATTTATTTATTCAGGGTGTTTAGTTTAGTTTTGTTTTTTCATTCTGTTTTTTTGAGACAAGGTCTGGCTGTGTAGCCCAGGCTGGCCTCAAAGTCATGGCGATCCT